CTAGGACTTATTTCTAACCATTTTGGTCTGGCGCCGCAATAGTTGACCCCCAGTCTCACAGCAATACTTTGCGCTTTGAGAATTCAAAGCGTTTGCTGAAAGTTATGGTTAGTCTATCCATCACGACGAGACTGCACCTTGACGTAGTGTGATGGCTTGCGTGCCTCCATAACCCTAAGAGCTACACAGGATGGCTCCTCACAGTCGTAGATCCAATCATGCCGGGAAGGTCAACGGGTAGAGGCCAGACGAAGCTCAGTCTCACAAAGCCAGCTGCTTGGGTATCTCCTGGCTTCTTCTATCCACACGCCCCTGGAGAGGCCACTCCAGCAAATAAACACGGTGAGGGGCAGTTTGCCGGTCAAAAGACCCCCGCAAGATGGACGTAGGAGCGGGGTATTTGGGGCTTCCTCTCGACGGTGTGTGGAGTCTTCGCCCTTCATTGGACAGCTACCGCCCGCCCAAGCTGGGCAACCCCCAGTCAATAAGGTTCTTTCCCGTCCACGTTCCGCTTGTCTCATTGGATGCTTGCGGCTGAGGGCCGATCCCGAAAAGCGGACGGATAATCAACGTCCCAGCGAACAACACAATTAATCTAAATTCAAAGGCCTTGCGTGACAGGTCTCTAGAAGCTCTCACACATGCTCCGTTCATGCTCCCTCGTTGAATTTACTCCCCACTGCCTTGTGGGTCAGACTTTTGAGTCGAAGGCTCCGGTTAGGTTTTCCAAAGAAAAACCCCTTCATCGGTGTGGGCTGCCGCGAAGTTTTACTTGTGTTCGGATTGCGCTAAACATCAAGGCCGAGCTTTCATTTCTTGATTGGATCCGGGTTAATAGCCGACTTTGCGCCGTACGTCTGGATGGTTCAGTTCGAGTCAACAGCTACAGAACGAAACGTGAATGCTTATTCATCGTATCTGCGTATGCACCGACAGATTGCAGTGCACCTGAAATGAAGGATGAATTCTACAAAGACCTCTCTCAACTGCTCCAGTGCTCGGTCAAAAGACATTGTGGTAGTCGCTAGAGACCTCAATGCTCAAGTGGAATCACTGGACGTATCAGAGAAGTTACTTGGCGGTTCGCATTCAATCCCAGCCAACAGGACTGACAATGGAGAACGCCTACTCCAACTTTGTGCTGACCACGTACTGTTTCTATCAAGCACGAACTTTTCGCACAAAAAACGCCACCGCCTTGCATGGAGATCGCCAAATTCTTTACAGCGCTGGACTCAAATTGACCACATCGCCATCAGCCACCGCTGGAGAGGATCCATTGAAGACTGCCGCTCCTACTGGTCAACACCCGTGGACACTCGACTGGGTCGAGTGTAAGCTGTAGCAGTTCGGCCAGTTCTGCTATATGGAGCAGAAACTTGGCCATTAAGAAAACAGGATAAAGATAATCTGTCGGTGTTTGAACATCGCTGTCCACGCAGCATTGCACGAATCTGGTGGGGCAGCCGAACGAGCAATGCTGAGGTTAGCCGTAGAGTTTTAGGCAGTGGCGGTCATTTACTGGAGCAAGTGATCGACCTGCATAGATTACGTTGGTGGGGGCATGTGTTACGCATGTCACCAGATAGGTTGAAACGGCGAGCGATGTTTGCCGAGGCAGGGCCTGGTTGGAAAAAGGTCAAGTGTGGTCAAACGAAAACCGGGCATGAGGGTATGAAAACCCTAACCAGGAGTCTGGGTCACATAGGCCCTGTTATGCTCCCTGGCCTGGGACCTCGGGATGATGGTCACTGATGGTTAGAGACACTGAGTGATATGGCTGGGTGTCGCAAACAGTGGCGCTCGTGCATCTACTCATTATTCCTCTATCACTGTTTGTTCTTTGTGAATTCTCTTCTTTCGCTTGGATCCCCTCTCAACATTCCAATGTCCATTCTGCTCTTTTATCCAAATGGGGCACTAAAAGACAGCAACCAAAACCGGCGCACGACAGTGCGTGGTTAGTGGTTGTAAAAACTGAACTGAACTGATGGTTAGTCTATCAGTTGCACTGTGCGCGTCCTCAAAACCTTTGAACAGACGGAGGATATCATCTTCATACTCCAAAGTGCATACTTTTTCACCCACTGTCCATTCAATGCCAATGTTTTTCAAACCACTTGGTGCGTTCTCCAGTATCTCGTCGTGGACGAAATTGAACAGGAATTGCTAAACAGAATACCGTCGACGAACACCCCTGCTGGTGACGAATGATCTGCTTATTTCGTTTTATTTACATAGCAGTGATTCACAAATAGAATGGATACGGGTGATCTGTCCAAGTAACTGCACCAGGTGCTGCGAAATAGAATCTTATGAAAACAGTGCAATTCGTGTGTGGTAGTATACGAATAACCTGATGAGAGACTGTCAATAATTCCTTTTCAAATTACAACGCTAGAAGACATGTCGAATCCTCATGTACTTATTCGTCACCCGGACGTCACTTTCAAGGTTGTTCAACTGCGCACTCTAGCAAATAGTTGAGGTGGTGGGGATACGAAAGTTCACTCCTGACCTCTGTGCTCCAAGGCGTTCGGTTCATTCTCTCCAATTTCTATTCTCCATGAACAATTGTTTACGCATTTCAATCACCCTGAGGCCGTCAGCTAGTTCAACCATTCCAGTACAAATGCAATTCGATCGTGAAAAACCCATGATTGTTATTGTTTCTAACTGCATGATCTGTTTTCTTGTGTTACCTATGTAATTTATAAACAGCTTAGAATAAATTATCGAAAAATACTTGGTTCATCAAACTGTATTTGTTCTAAATAATGTGATGAGTATTTTTCAGACATCTTTTCGTTTCTCGTATTTTCTTCTCGGTAAATAATTGTTTCTTGGTATTACAATGTTCGGCTGATAATCATCCAAACTTACACCCCAGAGCGACAACCCCACTGACTGTTTACAATCCCTCATGAATCGCAGTCACATTTGAATTCATCCGTTTGTCATCTCATCCCGGCACCGTCCCGTCCTCCTAAAATCACCTTGTCTGGGCAACACCGCCTGTGCTTGTATGGTGCACGGTGGTTTTGTGTCCATCGCATTGCTAATCCGTTCAACTTCACCGTTCGAACCACGTGAGTCACACGCGCAATGACATACGTACAGAGGCGCATGCCTCAAGAGCTATGTGGTAGAAATAAGGAGAAGGAGAGAGAAACGTGCGTGCTGGAGGGAGTACGCGCACACACGTCTGTCTCCAATCCATACCGAACGTGGTGTACCATGCCCACCGTATCACGCTCTGTGCTGGGTACAAAAGAGACAGTTCTGAGTTTTAACCTCTTCCTTCGAATGCACCTGTTCGATTACCGGTGCACCTTGTAAACAATTAATCTGAATGGAGTTCTCTCTCTCTGTCGTCTGTGTACAGACGTACACAATTTCAGGCGGGGCTTTTTTCAGTTCGACCTCGTTAATCAAGCCAGGATTTCAGACATCGTTGACGATCATCACCCACACGTGTAATTCATCTTAACATTTGTTATCAGATGGGTCTGAAAACGGATACAATATCGCTACCTAACGAGACATTTGCAGCTACATAAAGATGACAGAGTCTAGATACATGGGAAGTGTAATTTTTTGGAGAACACAGTGTGGTCTTTACTCTCTCATTTACATTAGTTTATTTATTTCGAGTCCTAGATACTTTTGCAAACGTAATTTAAAATAAGTATCATCAGGACGCACTTCATTTCTCATTTATGCCACTAATTTCAGTTCTCGGTCACTATTTTCAAAGTAATCAATTGTCGAAATTCATCGCCCTTCTAGTCCCAATTTAACAGTTGGTGGAAATCAACCGCTGTCATCACGGATAACAACTTCATCATCCATCGGCACTATACCAAAGCTTAGCCACTAATGTTCACTAATCAACCCCGTAGAAAAGGAATTTTCGTGGTACAGTATGAAGGCTAACAAATAGGAGTATGAGCTATGGGGCCAGGGCAGTGGATACTTATTACAAATGGCTTTAACGCTACTAAAACTCTATTCCGGTGCTTTGCGAGTATATGGTCAACTGGGATACGGATACGTGGCTTGCAAACATTGTGCAAATTGCTCAACACTAGATGACCACGTATACTCTTGATAAGGAATTCCCTACCACCTGAACTCTGTGACCATTACTGTTCTCCCTTATTCTACTGGTTTTCTTCGTCAATTTGCCGTTCTCTATCTACTTCATACCATTGTTGCTTTTCTTTTCTTAGCACTGCTGAAAAAAAAACACGAAGATCGTGCTTATTATACTTTCTTTGCTCACACTGCTGTGGATTATTTTGAGATGGTGCTTCGTCTGAAACACTTGTGATCTTGATTCTTTGCTTTAACAGTTTGGGAAGGGAAATATTGAAAATTACTACCTCCCCTCTCCGTGCAGCAAAACCAATGAGATCACCGGCGAGTAAGCTTTAACTGTGTGAATTTATTTTTGCACTACAATAAAGAAAAACTAATCCTCAACCCTCTCCTGAATCTATAATCCTTTTGTTCTGGTATTATCATGTGCATTCTGATTTTTCATTCTTTGGGAATCACTAGGCCAATTACTTTCCATCCACTTCCCCGACTGATATAATTTTGTTCTTCGGGGCCTCGCCGTTCCCTTTTTAAAACTTTTGTTGTTGTAGTGACTAGCAAAATTAAACTCTGACGGTTTTGTAAACAACGGTGTTGATTGTTGTTTTTGTAGCTCGGGTGGTATAATTTGATGTTCAGTTGTTCGCCGAGCTTGACAATTGTATTGCGAACGTTTCATCACCAATCAAGGTGACATTCTCAATGCGGTAACTGGGTTACTGCATTGGGAATGTCACCTGGATTGGTGATGAAACGTTCGCAATACAATTGCCAAGCTCGGCGAACAACTGAACATCAAATTGGACTCTATCTGCCATCCCCCGTCTGTTGCTATAAGCGAACCGTGTCTATGGTTATGCTAATTCTTGTGTTTACCTTCCTCGCATTTCTCATCCCAGTTATCGGATACTAAGAGTGTGGACAAATCCTGGACTCTTTTACACTACATTGTGGAAACCATTGAGACTGGATTTCCGGCTTTGTTGAATTTTTATGAAGAGTTAGGCGATGTTGCCACTGCTGCTAAAGGTTAGTTTTTCAGCACTAACTTTGTTTTGAATGTATTCTATTCACTACATGTCATCTAATTCGCCACTGTTACAAGAATCCTAAAGTGGTTGCAGGTCCTTGGTTACGGTTTATGGCATTTCATGTCCTTTAGTATCGTTGCAATCGTAAAGGTTCGTCTGTCTCATCAATCTGTGGTGAGAGATCACATCGAACAAGGGCCAGAAGCCCGTAATGCAATAATCCAGTCATATCATTTTACTGGCTGATCTGATGGTGCTTTTTCAACCGCACCAGGAAATCCAGACTACCTCGTAATTCGCACGCTCTCCTCTTTTGACACACATGGCCCCACCAGTTCCCATGGAGACACTCACCTCTGATGTAGCTGCCCTGGTTGCCGGAATGGACCAAGCCGATAGAGAAACGATTGTGGCCGGTCCCGTGGGAACTCCTGAAAGACTCACGGAATTCGTTACAACTAACAAAGCCCGTGTGGATTCGATTCAACAACAAGCAGAAAAAGCCAAAACACTGTTTGCACAAACAATCGAGTGGTTTGGTGAGGCTCAAAACAAGCCGAGCCCGGAAGTTTTCTTCGGACTGATCGCTCGTTTTGTCGAAAACTTCAAGGTACGTGAAATCCATAAGTCTAGTTTATGAAGTTATCACAACGTTCCAATGGAAACAGGTTTTTTCACGTTTACAAACGAACTACTATTTGAACTCTCCAAAGTGAATAAATATAGATTAGTAATGAAGACCTGTTGAGTATTGTTCAATATAAAAGAAAAGTATTTCCTGCCTTTCGCACCAACAATGGGGATTGCATTAGTCTCCATTAAACGAATAAGCAAAATAATGAAGGTATCAATTTCCCGTAGGTAGTGGTAAGCATTATCGAGAAGCGGTTAGCGCCCTCTCCAACACCATCGTTCATCACCATGAGCAAAAATGGAGATATCATACCTGCTTGAAAACAGATGTCCCTAACTTGCGTCTTTTCGCCTGAATAAATATAGCTATACAGCATGGCTGTAAAACATAGCGATTTTGGGAGCGCGTATCACCGGTTGATTTCCTTTGCTTGTTCTTCTTGTGCTTTCTATAATCAAACGCATAATGGTGCACCTTTTTTCAAATTGTTGATCACGTGAAAAATAATTGTGGCAAACGGATGAGCGAATACAATTGACGCACACCAACTGACTGGATTGGCAATGGCCCTTTTAGAAAGTTGAGATTATAGGCCCGAACGTGACTGAGAGACGTCTAGTAATTCTTCAGACAATCTCTTGAATTATTCCACTGGGTATTCACAAATAGCTTTGTAGCTCTTCTGTGGATCTGGATACTTCGGTTCATTTAATCTCTTCGTTTCCTTTCTATTCTCCAAGGATATTGTGTTCTGGCAAACAAAGAGCACTGGGAAGCTCCTTCATCTTTACTTGGACTTATCAACCGTGCGCTTTATGTTTGTCCTTTACGCATCAGAATGTTTCAGATGAGCCGGTGGCTAGCTTCCGGTTCATTCCACTCTTCTGGAAAACCTTGTCGCACGCTGAATCTGGACAAGGAACAACGACCGTATTTAGTGGCGGGACACACTCGCTAAGTTACAGCGCTGTCCACAGATATTTGTGGTGTTTTGTACGGGAACCCTTGTAAGAGAACTACAAGTTCTATTCTCTAAAGTTTGCAATACTGAGCAGGTCCCCTCGTGGAGGGAATCGATAGTCGTCCCCATCTTCAAAATGGGCCCGCGCAATGACTATGCCAATCATAGAGGTATAAGTCTTATCCCGATAGCGTCAAAGCTGTTGGCGTCCGTCATTCTCCACCGTACACTATGCGTGAGGAGCAGGCTGAGTTTCGCACCGGTCGTGGATACATCGATCAAATCTTCATTCTCCGACAGCTGCTAGAGCACCGTCATGCCTATCAAAGACCAACGACCATTGGATTCTTATACATTCGCGCAGCCTTCGACTCTTTCGATGGGAAGTGTTAGTTGAGGAATGGGATACCAGAGAAGTATGTGTCCATCCTCCAAAAGTTGTGTGGTCATGCCTCAGCTCGGGTTAGGGCCTATGGCCAGCTTCCGCCATCTCCATTGGAGTTGGACAAGGCTGTCCTATATTCCTATTTGTTTATAACGTTGTCGTAGAGGATGCTTTGTCCGGTCTAGCAAACGGTGAAGTCGAAATCCTCCCAGGGAACAAAGTCCTTGACGTAGAATATACCGATGAAATCGCTTTGCTGGGTGACAATACACAGGCAGTCCAACACACCTTGAACCGCTTGGCGATCGAGGTATCCAAGTATGGTATGTAGTTTGCACCTTCCAAATGCAAAGTGCTTGTTCAAGACTGGCTGGAGCCTGTGCTTGCACTCATCCTCTGTGGTGATCAGCTGGAAGTAGTTGAGAGCTTTAAGTACCTCGGGAGCTTGATCGCAGCTGCTGTTTGTATTGCGGAGGAGATCAAATCATGAATAGCGAAAGCTAGATCGCCTTTCGGCACCTGTGGCGCCGCCATGATATCCAAGTCAAGTCAAGCATTCGCTTTATACACCCCGAAAGGTGAATATTCAGCAATCACATAGTCAACCAACAATTATTGAAGAAAATTATATGAGAATTGGGGTAGGCATGGAGAAAAGAAAACAATTTACGATATGAATGAGTTAAGTTCCGATGCGATGGATTCTGGGCTGGCAAGGCACCACAGAAGACCCATAGGCGGTCGTACGACCAAATATACAGGGACCGGGTGGAAGAGGAGGACACACATTTAATAAGATCTTGATTTAGCGGATGTAAAGGGTTATCAGTGATTTTTGTTGATAACTAAAAAGTATGACCTTTGTTGTGAAATGATGAAGTGCCAGCCAAAGGGGTAAACATTAGCAAAAAGAAAACGCTTAATCAAGAAGCGATCGACGGATATTGCTTTCAGACGTAAGACATAAAATTATAATTTCCTGACCTTTACAAATACAAAAATAACTTGGCCATACCAGCATAACTTTCAGCTTATTAACACACCAAGATACCTGACATTCGCGGGTTAGGTAATAGTATCATCGCGTATGTTCAACGTGGGGCAGGAGTCCAGGAGATTGGCATTACGATCCCCTCTGTGAACTGAGAACAGCATGTCTACGCATTTAGAGGGTTTGAGAGTAAAGTTGTCCTCTGCGGACCACTCAGCAAGGTTAGTAAGGCGAAGTTGGAGTGTGGGGTGGGAGATTCCGACCACAACATCGTCCGCATATTTAATGAGCAGGGAATTTAGAAAAGTAGGCATGGATACAATATAAGTGGAAAAGAAAAACGCGGGATAGAATGGCACTCTGTAATACACCTAGTATAGAAATTAAGAGAGAGGAGAAACGACCAAGGTGACGTATGCACTGTGATCGATTTCTGAATTAGTTAGTGAGTGCCGTAGTTATGGTTTGCGATATTCCATTGGAAGAAAAAATATTTAACAACTTAGACCTGTCAATACAATTGAAGGCGTCACTGTAATGCAAGAAAAAATTTCTGACGGCTTTCTTATTACCATCAAGTGCTGACAGAATATAGTGAACCAGAGAAGCTAGGGATCTAGTGTGGAGCGAGAGCGGCAGTTGGCAAATTGTTTCTTTCCTGTATATTCACCTGAGATGACATTCCTTGAAGGAGTGGCTTCTCAAAAAGTTCCAGTACAACAGACGTACATTCAGTGGGACGGAATTTTGAGGTGCCTCCTTTAGGCACTGGTGTGATGGAGGCAGATTTCCAACAATCAGGTATAATTCCGTTTTCTAAGCACTGGGTAAACAGAGCTGTTAGAACTGGCGAAAGTGTGTGAGCGCACTCCTTAAGGATGGCAGCCTGCAACCTGTCGGGACCAGGTGAATTATTGGGTTTGCGTGTTAGCAACTCTTTCAGAACATCCTATTGTTGAATAGTAAAGTGTTCTTTATTGATGGGGTCGATGGTAGCTCTGGTGATGACCGACTGCCCCTTAAGGTAGTCATTGCTCGTGTCTGGCGGGAACATCGGGTGTGCAATAGCGAGGTTCGTCGTCGTGTGTTGGGTGTGGATAGTCGCTCTCCAACAGAAGTAATCACTCTACATCGCCTCCGATGGTTTGGTCACGGATTGCGTATGCCTTTGCATGC